AAAAATTTGAACCGAGTGCCGCAATTGGAAGGTTATAGCTCATATCATACACTTAATAACAAACTTCAAAATGATGGAGTTGTTATCTATGCTAGAAAGGATTTGGATGTTGTGGTGTGGGAACCCAGCTTTGATGATGGTAACTGCTTGGTATGCACCGTTGAAAAGAAATTTGCTCTTATAGGCATCTATCGCTCTCCATCATACCCTAAAATAGATAACTTCATAACCAGCCTAACCAAGCTCCTGAAAACATTGGAACCATTTAAAAATATTGCTATGCTAGGAGACATAAATATTGACATTAAAACACATAACAATGATAGAAACTCGGACTATTACCTTACTTCAACGGCAGCCTTGGGTTTGCTACCCGCCCATACATACCCCACCAGGTTGAGCAGTTGTTTAGATCACGTACTACTGAAAACGAACCTAGTGTCTAAGGCTTTAGTTTTAGAATCTCCGATAACTGATCATCTTCCCATTCTGCTGTGCATCACGCATGTCCAATCTTATAAGGATACTAGATTACATATGTTTACCAGACTAGATCATGCTGCCATAAAGGAAACCCTCGATGAGAGTAACTTTTCTTCTGTGATGTGCTCGGTAAACGCTGATCAGGCGGCTGAAAATCTTATCAATATCATACAAAATGCTATCAAAACTCATACCACAATGACAGTAATTCCACGTAGAAAAACTCCATTGAAGCCCTGGATCACTGAGGGTCTTCTACGTTGTATACGAAATAGAGATAAAATGCACCTACAATTACGTAACGATCCAAACAACCATATTATGAAGGTAACCTATAAAAGATACCGTAATTTTCTAAATAATCTCTTACATAAAGTAAAGCAAGAATTCCAGAGAAGTGAGTTTGCTAAGGCAGGCAAAAATCCTAAGGCTATGTGGAAGGTGGTAAAAAAAGTGACAGACTGCACGAGTCAAGCAGAATCCTCACGTGCTCTTATTAGTGCAAACGTAGACTCCCGTACCGCCCTAAACTCAATAAATAGGTATTTTGTAAATGTAGCTGTAAAAGCAAATAAAATTACCGATTCGACAGAGGTTTGTCCACCGACGACGATTGCCCAATCAAATTCTCTGGCAATCCTAGAAGCTGACTCTGATGTGGTAAAACGTATAATTGGTGGCTTGCGTGACGACTGTGCTCCCGGATGGGACGGAATCTCTGCCTCTGTGATCAAAGCTTCCAAAGATGTCCTGATCCCTCCGATTACACATATGTGTAATCTTTCCATCTCCTCTGGTACTTTTCCTAGGGTATTGAAACGAGCTGTTGTCAGTCCCATTTACAAGCAAGGGAATAAAAGTGATATTGCCAATTACAGACCGATATCAGTGCTACCGGTACTCTCGAAGATCTTGGAGAGAATAATCAACAATGCACTTGTTGGTTTCTTAGATAAATATAATATAATTGCAAAGAACCAATTTGGCTTCAGATCAGGTGTTTCCCCAGAGGACGCAATCGCGAGTTTTACTAGTGCAGTAGTTGGTAAGGTAGATAGTAAACAGAAATATTTCGGAATCTTTCTAGACCTCTCCAGGGCCTTCGACACAGTTTCGATACCTGTACTAATCAAAAAGCTGGAATACAGTGGCATTCGAGGTCGGGAGCTGGAACTTCTCAAAAGCTACCTTCAGGATCGTACACAAAGCGTTAAAGTTGACTCTCTTACCAGTGATACGGAGAACATTGGCTACGGCGTCCCTCAGGGCAGCATATTAGGACCAACACTTTTCCAGGTATATGTGAATGACCTGTGCAAATTAATTATACCAAATTGTGAAATATTTGTGTATGCTGATGATACAGCATTGTTAGTGGATGGCAATGATTGGAGGACTGCTAATCATAACGCCCAGGAGGCACTCAAAATTGTAAAAAATTGGCTTTCACAAAACTTACTTACCCTAAATCTACAAAAAAACAAAGATCCTACCTTTCTCCATAACTTCTGCTTCTTCAGTACCACCCAATCACGCCAAAGTAACAATGCATACCTGTATATCACCCTCAAGTGCATGTAATTGTTTTTCGATTGTTCCTGCTTCTAGTGTAAAATACCTGGGCATTCATATTGACACTAATCTAAAATGGCACACTCAAATTGAGACTCTAAAACTAAGGGTACGAAAGCTGATATATATATTCAAAATTATTAGAAACTTGGCTGATTCTGAAATCGTTAAATCGGTGTACCTTGCTTTGTGTCAGTCGGTCTTGGCGTATTGTATCCCAATATGGGGGGGAGCTGGGGGAACTGTGATGCTGAATCTGGAAAGGGCACAAAGAGCCATTCTTAAGATAATGACACACAAGCCAATTCGATACCCCACATACTTGCTGTACTCTGAATGCCAGGTTTTAACGGTACGGCAACTGTACATTCTCAGATGCATACTACGTAAACATGCTTGTGTTCCGTTGGATATTAACGTTCTTTCACGGCGACGCGCCGCAGTCCATGTATGTCCTCCCACTAGGTATAAAACAATTTTCGCTTCACGTCAATATGATGCTCTTTCTTCAGCCTTGTACAATAAGATGCATAAGTTTATCTCAATTTATACCCAAAATATGTTTGAAGTGAAGAAGAACACCTCTGCTTATCTTTTGAAGCAAAACTATTCAGACACAGAAAATCTATTAAAATTAAAATAAGAAACAGTTATGGATAATATAAGACAAACACACACACAAACACACACTCAAACACACACTCACACACATACACAAACACACCACCAATATAATTTCACTCACACTTGTACGCTCACACGTAATCAATATTTGATAAATTGTTTTGTTTCGTTAGTTGATTACTCACCTCAACAGCTGTAGTCAAACCTATTGGGCTGCTCTAAAATTAAAATATTTTTGTAATATGTCGACCGAGGAATCACTAACCCTGATAATTACAGTTTTTACTAGTTTCTGGGTTAGGGGTCCATTTTTTCAGACTTTTATATAAATACCCGTAGACTTTATTAGCCTAATACTTTAAATGTAAAATGTTGAGGGTTATGAATAAATGATTATTATTATTATTATATATTATTATTATGAAACCATTCGAAAAAAATATTATGGAAGGAAGAACGCTGATTGATCCTAGGGTTTTAATCAGAAGTGGTGGTCCTTGGCAAGATGGAAATTTTGACAAATGGTCCCTATATATAATGGCTCTAGACCAAGAGGTTTGGGCTGTGCGTTTATATGTGTCAATCAGCCAGTTTCTTCTTTTATACATATAATGAGATTGCACTCTGAAAACATTATGTGCAATCTTTAACATTTATAATCACATCTAAACTTGTGATTTATCTGAGTAATTGAACACTATAAGTATGTGCAATTTATTTATGCTGTAAAGTTGATTTGATGTATGAACAAGATTAAATACTAGTCTTAATATTCAATGAAATCACTTTCAAAGAAAACCATGGATTAAAACTAAGAGTGGAAACATACAAATAATTGGTGTGATAATATAAAGATGACATGACATCATAGTCACATATTTGTATCTAGTTATCTATCCTTATATGTGACAAAACTATTTTGTAATTCTATATAAATATACATATTATCTTTTAGTATAGTGTATTCTATCTGTTACCCTAGTATCCAATAACACAATCCTTACAGTCGGGCTAGGCTACTGAGGGTCGTAACGATTTTTGTTTGAGAATGCAGATTTATAGAGCTAAGGATTCCAAAAAATACAGTGGTTAAATTTTTGTTCTTTTTTGAGTTGATTTGCTGACCTAGTAATGATCCTCAGTGGTGTGGGTGTTGGAAATATTTATTTATTATTTAATTGATGATAATTTCAATTCACATTATGGTCAGAGTTGTTTTAATTAAAAAAAGGTTTTAACAGATCGAGACAGAGGGATTGTGTAGATATGCCTACAAGGAGCTGCCTTGTACTCACTCAACTGCATTTAATTCTTTCATTCATTCATATAACAAAAAGCTACAATATGAGCAAATTTTTTGTAAAATAAAATATATTACCTCTTTCACCATTGAAAAACATGGCACATATAAAGAGTTAAGGTTCTTGCAATATGATAAATACCATATAAAATAAATAGTATGTAAGTATAATAATATTTTAAAGATAGTACATTCAATGCAGTTATGTTGCCAAGTCCAAGATGGACTAAAAATAGCAAGCATTAACATATTTTAGTACTTTTGCTGGCATTGGAGTTGACATTGTGACAGTGATTGGAGTAATATTGTGTGAAACAGTTTGTTTTTATGATTTTTATGTAAACTATTATATATCTTTAACTTTTCTAAATAAACAAATAATAGTTTATCTATTCATACATTTTTTTAATCAACTTTAGACACTATTTCTAATTAGTAGCAGTACCTATTTGTTAATATAGTTATTTCATATAATTGCTTGGTTTAAAGCACTAAGTAATGGGTGGATTTTCACAGGGTGTAACAAGAAAAATAATAAGGTAAAAATTAAAATTATAAATTTATTCAACATAACTTGTAAAATAAATTATAAAGATCTTCATTGAAATACTTATTTAATATAGTGGTGTATATTGTAATTTCTTCATTTCAAAATATTAGACTGGCTCTATGTTAATTAATGCTTTAAATCAGTGAACTAAAACGAAACAAATTAAATAATACCTTAAACGATAAAAATAAAAATAGGTAAGACCTTGAAACCACCTAGCACATTTTTTACTTCCTAATAACGGCCTCATCGACGAGACAACGCCACTGTTCGATAATAAGACCAAAATATAGATGTATGCTAAATTATTCAAGGTATTGAACAACCTCGCCACCAAGAAAAATAACCTTTTGATAAATATGCCATCCAGTATTCACTTCGAAAACCATCGAGTTTTAATTTGTTTAGATCGGTTTTCATAGAACAGCTGTCACGTTATGTAAACTCCAAAAATAAAATAGAAGTACTTACAACAATGATCTGGGAATGGAGGCGAACATTATCAGAATCTTTTTTCACATATGAATTTCAATTCCTCGGAAAATGACGATTGCGAATGAACAATGAACAGAATTGATTTTATTTTTTTTAACTAAAATGACGGCCTCCACCCGATTTTCATTGAATATAACTGACAGAGTATGACAGACTGACAGTGACGCAGGATACCAAATGCAATTTTACGATTTCCCCAAAATAATAAGTTATCTAAAATAAACCCATAATAGTGTTACAAAAAAAGGCTTTTATTTGTTAATTTAAGCTTCATTCAAAATATCAAGTGGGTACTTCTTCAGTTCCATTTTCTTCTCCTATTTGTTAATAGGTACACATTTTCAGAATTAAATAATTCTAACATTTTTCCGGTTGATTCAAACTTTGTGCCGTGCTACCCTGATTTTCTAAGACACTTCACACTCATGATTTATAGTCTGCTTTTTTTGTGAGCCTTCTGTTTCAGAGTTGATTTTTGATGATATTCATCAACGGAAACGCCCGTTCTACAGCAACATTAGCAAATGGCAAACTCAAACAGGCCGAGGCAAGTTTTTTTATAAGTTAATACTCTAAAATTCGTAACTCAGTAACCCTTAAACTCGTCAGCTGTTTTTTTCATGCTATGGTCGAAAATCATAGACTGTCTAGCTAGATTATTTGAAATTACTCTGGATTCTTGCATATTAGTCAGGATGTCAGTTGATTAAAAAGGACATTCGACGTTCATTACCAGATATGTTCTTTAGAAGTGCTAGCCTCAAAAATCCCCATATATGTATTTATTTCCCAGCAGTTTCCCCAAAGATACTAATTCCCCATTTTTCCCCACGAGTGAATATTTTCCCCGGAATTGCTAAAAACCCCCCAATCTGGCAACGCTACAATGACATGACGTAGTGACACTGCCAGACAGTGTTACCAGATGAGGAAAGGAGAAATGCGGTAAGGTGAAGGTACAAAAACTCGGATAAAATCGGATCGAACATAAAAGTGGTATTTCTTGTATTATAGGCCACTATATTACCCCTTTACCCATAAATAAGAACCAAATAAGGATACAATTATAACGATAAGGATCAGAGGCGGCTCTAGACCTTGTGGCGCCAGTGTGCCACCAATATCCTGGCGCCCCCTAGTATGATTTTATAAAAAAAACACATAAAGCAACGTCGATAAATTTTACGAGCTTGCATTTCGAACTGTCATAACTCTTTGACGCATGCATTTTAATGAAGACCTTATACGGTATAGATTAAAGCTGATTTTCAATGTATAATAAATATAATGCCTTATATATTGGTTTTGACTACACGATCATCTTACGGAGCTCAGTGGATCGTTCAATGTACCTTTTGGAAAGGTTTTGGGCACGATTTTGTTCGTGTTTGTGTATCTAGAGTATTTAATATCGTTAGCCGTGACCTGTACACGTAATAAACGAACGATTTAGACTAAAAAGATTGATCAGACGCAAATACCGAAAACAGCTCGGTAGCTGTGTTCATATTACAGAGATTATGGGTAAGGCGCACATATCAGGTGCTTGATCCGATTCCCCGATTGGATGATCCTTGTACATGGACGGTTGAATGTGATCGGTTTTTCGTCCCGAATAAAGATGTAGGTAATGGCGAAATTAGAAACGCCGATGGTTCATACGCAAAGTAACGTGGAGATCTGGATTTTCCGTTGTAATTGGTGTGCCCGTCTGGGACCTTATAGAAAACCCCAGTAACCAGTGGTAATGATTTTGGCATGATTCTCTAAATCTAAACTTAAATTAGACAACAGTGTCTCCTTGTCATTCTCTATATAGAACAAAAAGGAGAGACTGATGTTAAATTTAGTTTTAGGTTTAGAGAATCACGCCAGATTCGACGCCAGTGTCTGATTTACACTTTCATTTGTCAAAAGCTCTACTTCTACTCACATTAATGAGACATGTCGGCGGGTCACAAATATGCTCCGTGCCCTCTATAAATATAAAAATTTTCTCCCAGTTCACACAAAAATCTCTTTGATTCAGGCTCTTGTCCTACCATCCATAGATTATGCTGATGTGTGCTATCCTGACTTAAATATAGATTTTCTTGGTAAATTGGAGCGGTCTTTTAACAGCTGTATTCGCTTCATTTTCAGTCTACGGAAATATGATCATATCACTTCATTTCGCCGTGAACTCAATTGGCTGCCTCTTTCAAACCGTCGTGATCTAAGAATTCTCACAACTGTTTTCTCAATTCTTTTTGACCCTCATGCTCCGTCTTACCTGAAGTCCAAATTTCACCTTTTGAGTTCCACTCACTCTCGTCCTCTTCGTTCATCTGAAAACCTTCTTTTGTCCATTCCTTCCCACTGCTCCAGCTTCGTGTCAAAATCATTTTGTCTCCAAGCTATTCGTCTCTGGAACGGTCTTCCGGAGAGCGTGAGAAGAGCACCCAGTAAACCTGCTTTCAAGGTCCTTGTAGGTCAGCATTTTGCTAAGAAGTCATAACAATTTCCGTATTATGAACCAACTTCTGGTCAGTCCGACTATTATTAATATTATTTGTAATAGTTATTTTCTGTTTTATTATAGTATTCTTAAGTAAGTATAGTAGTATTTATTATTGTATATGTGTAGGTATTTATCGTATATATAAATATATAAACATGTATTTATCGTATTATAAATATATAAATATGTTATATATATGTAGTTATTTAGGTATATTTATAGATGTTAATAATTATATTAAGTAACATGTAGTTTTATAAATTTAATTTTGTTTTTATTTTATTTTTATACCATTTAAATAATAAATTACACATTTTAGTGATTTTTATTGATTTTAGTCGGGCATTTGACATGTTACAATATAGTACTCTTTACCATAAGCTAACTCAATGCGGTATACAGGGTCCATTTCTGCAGCTTATCAAAAGCTACCACACGAATCGCCACTCTGTAGTTAAAATATGTGATCAGTACAGTAACATGACTCTAACAAAGAGAGGCACGGCTCAAGGCTCCATCTTTGGCCCAATGGAATATCTACTTTATGTCAATGATATGTGTTCACTTATTAAAGAGGGATCGGTGTACCAATTCGCAGACGATACCTGCTTGGTAGTAGCCGCCAAAAGTGTAAGTAAAGCTGAACAAATAATGCAAAATAATTTTGATATCGTGTGTAAGTGGGCCCATGACGTTGGTTTGGTGGTGAACGCTCAAAAGACTAAGTTATTGCATATTCACACCTCTCACAATAAAGCCGACATCACACCCACCGTGGTGGGTCACAATCATAACTGTATTCATAACCCGACATGTAATTGCACGTGTCAGCCAATTGACAATGTGAAACAACATATCGTCCCTTAGCTAACAACACCGCTCAAGTCGAAAATTGGCGGTTTTTACATTTTAATGCCATTGGATGAAGCTGCGCATTGCGCGTCGAACCATTGGTCTCATGAAATAGATTTCAGCCAATCAGAAGCCGTAATTCAAAAAATAGTGACAGCGCTCAAGTCGGTTGGCGTCGCAACACCGCACAAGTCATTAGTCTCATACTTTTCACGCGAAAATACTTCACGCTCCGTGATTATTCAATTTTTATGTGAATTTTATCGCTGAAATATCTTTGCAAGAGGTTTTAATAGAAGATTAAGAGGTAAGCTATAGAATAAAGTAATGTTTATTGATTTACGCGTATTAATTTAGAAATAAATGATAAAATAATATCTTTACTTACTTAGGCGGTGTTTACTAACTATTTTTTCTTAATTTAGGCGGTGTTTCAAAATTTATTTTATTTCTGTTAGGAAACTCAATAATTGAAATACGCTATGGATGGAGAAGAATTTGATTCCTGGAGTGATCTAAGTTCAGGTGATGAATGGTTATGTGCCCAATTACAAGAATCAGGGCTGATGTCAAAACATAAACGGTGTAAACAAAGTTGCAAAGAAGATAAAAAAAGAATTAAACTAGGTTAGTAGTAGTAGTAGTATGGGTTTGTTTTGCAGTCCGCATTTATTTTTTTGTCATTTATGATTTTAATACAATAATTCCTATTATTTATTTTAGATTTGAATCAAAAAGATAACACCAGTTCTTCTGACACCAAAGCATGCAATTCTCCTACTAAATGTGAAACTATCGCAACACCAGTAAATGATCAAAACTTTGGGGAGTCCATGAAAAGTATTATAAGTGGCCAGGATAATGTAAACACAATATTTGACCAGAATATAGACTTGGATAATATTGAAAATATTGACATTCACAATCTACAAGTCGTAGAAAAAGTTGGTAATGACTTCTTTGATTTGCAACATAATAATTTACCACCTGAATTTGCTACAGTGACCATCGAGTATCCTCCGCCTTCTGCATTGAATGTAGCCAATATCTCGGTAGAAAGTAAGAATGTTGTACAAGAACTAGGAAATATTGACATCGAAGCTTTTCCTACGAGTACTCAAGACCCAGTTTCGGATATAGTAATTAATACAGATACAGATATAACAGATGAGAATAAAACAACCCAAAACAATATCCAGCAATCCAGTGTCTCTGCTACTCCATCATGTTCTTCAAAAGTGGTCATACTCAGTAACGTTACTTATCACGGTGATTTGTTAAGTCATAAAAAACGACAGAACAAGGCGTCAAAAGATCCAAATAAATATAAACGCAATATAAATAAAGAGTTACGGATGAAAGGTGAAAATTATTTAGGATACAGAAGAGATAGAAAAGCAAAGATTAATGAAACATTTAAAGTGAAACAAGACGTATTCAAGCCTGCAAGATCCATGAAACCACCGTGCACTTCTGCGTTTTGCAAGAAATCCAAACTCAGGTCATGTGACAACATAAACGAGCAACAGCGAAAATATTTGTTTGAAAATTTCTGGAAGAACATGAACTGGGAGCAGCGAAGATCATTTATAACTTCTCACGTTAACAAAGTACCAAAAAAAGTTACAAAAAATCCAGAATCATCCAAAAGAACTGAAAGTCGAACTTACGTTTTGACCATTGATAATGTACGTCACCAAGTCTGCAAAAAAATGTTCTTGGCCACTCTTGGAATTAAAAATTGGTTTGTAAGATATTGGTTGACAAAAACCGATTGTGCTATGCCTCCCG